TGGAATAATGAAGTCTGGAACGGGTAATGAATGAAGAATGAAGGAGTGACTTTAAACTCGTTTGATTACAAGAAATGATGAGAAATGAAATAGAATAAAAAAATAAAATAAATGATTAAAATGTGGAGGAGAGATAGATATCTGAACTATGTTCATGAAGAAGAAATCATAATTTAATTTATAAAATTAAGAGTAATGAGTCATGATGTTTGTACAGGGTGTAATAATTTTTACATTTGTGATATGTAGTATAAAGTTTTATCATGCTTTCATAAATGAGAGTAAGGATAATTTAATTTATTCATTTTTTATTTTTTTAATCCATTTCATTCATATTCTTTTCAACAATCAAACAACTCTGAATTTCAGATATTGGAGGAAGGGAATGGAAAATGATTTTGGACCTAACCATGATAAAGGAAATGTGGTGGTGGTGGTGGTCATTTAGGTTAACTGTCTTGCGCCTGTGCGTACGGAATTTATTGGGATCTGACTTGCCCAGTCCAATTTTAATACTCCCCAAAAACAAACCTAAATACAATTTTCAAAATGGTTCAAGTGTTTAGGAACAAAACGACATTTGCATGATCAAAGCATGACTTGGGCTTTTGGAGCTTTGGATTCAGTTTGTTTTATAAGTTTCGGAGTCTGTATGTTCTGTATGTTTCTTGGGGTCTTCTTTGTCTTTCATGTTTTTGGAATCTGTTTTTTTAGAGTCTGTTCGTGTTGTTCTCTCTCTCTGTTTTTTTTTTTTTTAATGATGTTCTGTTTGTTCAGTGTCGCCCTCTTTTTTCCCCCAAGGTATTCTCGTAAATTTAAGTGTCATTTAAGAAATTGTTTTCTTTCAAACTATACTTTTTCCATACACTCCCAGAAATTGAACACCAGAATGAGGATTAAGAGTTTTTTTTATGGGCTTGTAATCATTTTAATTATTAATAATATTTGATTTTACATAAAAGAAAAGTGTTTAGGAATATTTAGTGTCTTGAATTAATTTATGGTGCAGTTTTTTTCTCAAAATGGTATATTCGGCACCCAACCCTTAAAAAATTTAACTTCAACTGTTAGGGACGTACTCACACGCACATTCTCTAGTAGGGGCAACTACCTTCACAACCCAAGAAAAAAAGTTATATAATGTGACTCCAAATAATTTTAGTTTTCCCTCTAAGAAAATTTCAACAGCCCCTATCACTTTAAAAATTTTCACTTTTCTCACTAGAAAATTTATAATTGAAAATATTTTCTATGCGCTATAATCTTATTCTTAAATAGCAATAGTTTTAGAAAAAAAAACAATAATTTATTAAAAAATTGTTCATAAAAACTTCATAAAAAAAAATTCCTACATTACACTATATGTATTTTATTAAAAAAAAAACTTCATAACATACGAAATCCAGCTTCTGCTACTCAGTCGCTGCTGCTGCATGCATGAAGAATGAAGAAACAGAGATGTGATCTCATGTGTCCTTTATTAACTGTGTTGATCATCCAAGAAACTGTCTAGCTAATGGACGGTGGAGATGATTTCAAAACTGGAGATCTCTGCAAAGACCCTTTCGGTGCAGGTGGATTACTTGGCAGAGACCCTGCCAGTTTCCTCATCGTCATCCCTACACATATATAAAATAGCTCCTGTGACTCGTCATGACTACTCATTATATTTCTCAAACTATTTTTTCCCCCAATTCATGTTAAAAAAACAAAGAGACGAGCATGAAAATTATATATGTTAGGAAATGGGAAGCGACAGTCTAGAAACGAGCAATGTAAAGGCTTAAGTTTATGATTGAATCATTTCACTTAATTATATGTTAGTTATTAAACTAAACTTTATTCAATGTCAGATTTCCCACCTCAATTCAAAGATGCTTACATTTCAACATCCTAGTAATATATATTTAATCTGGATCCTGTATCATAATTATTAAGGTGAGTACAACCAATTTTGTGTCATCCGAATTGATGAACTCTACACGCACACAATGACTGTATAATATAAGTCGTAATGAATCATACCTGCGTTAGCGTTGGGGCACTGCAAGAATAGAGTGGAAACGATGACTAAAAGAGCCATCAGAAAATGGTAAAGAGAAGACACACCCATTGATCTCTATTTTTAGCTATTTTCTTCAATGCGTTCAAATTTATATTCAAAGCAGGTATATATATATATATATATATAGACTTGGATTTTGAATAATGATTTGTGAACTTGTGCATATTTTCAAACATGTAACTTCACAGAAAAAGGTCCATTCATATTGATGTTTAACGCAAAACCTTGATATAGGGTGGTAGTAGTGGCCATATATAGCACTATAAGTCTGCCCCAACGCGTTTTCTTATATACACAAAACTTGTCATTTTCTGTTAATTTCTATGTGTACTGTATTTATTGTATTATAAATTAAAAAATGAAGGCAGGTCAAACAATGTTAGCGATCAGAAAAATAAAAAATATTGTTGGGTAGGTGTAAGGTCTGGGAAGGTTTTAGTCTTCTAATTAATTACAGTTTTGGTTGCGATTGCGATTGCATTCCGTGGTCGTGATACACTATCTCCTTCATTTCAATGATTAACAAAGATGTTACATTACAATGATTAGGAAGAAAGATAGTATTAGATAGCTTGAATTATATCAAATATTTTAGCATGTTATATATTAGCCAGGCACTTGAGCTCCGACTGTCAGTTTTTTCATTAATAAAAAAAATACAATGGTAGAATAAAATAATTAAAGCTTCATTAAAATTCTACATGAAAATTATTTTAGAAGAAAAGTTATTCTTAAAAAAATTTAAAACGAAAGGACCATATAATTAATAATTACAGTCAGGTGTTAAATCAATTAATATAAAACATAGCAACCCAATTATCGAGAATCATATATTCAATGGTGTTGAGGATGAAGACTGAATCGGATTTGAATTTAAATTTGGTGAGTATCCTAAGTCTATTTACTAAATGAGGATATCATGTGGCACGATAATAATTATTGTTTGATTTAATTGAATGACTGCAAGAAATTTTGCTATTTAATAGTATTCAAAGAGTATCACATTTTAATTTTTTGGAGGAGACAACATCCTGAAGGAGTATTTCTAATAGTGAGAATTGTTTTAAATTTTAGGAGAGGAATGTGTCTTGATAATAACTTTGATACAGGTGAATTTTCTCAAAACCGGATAAAATCTAGTTTGCACACTCATGTTAATTTGGATAATAAAAATTAAAATTGAATGGTCCACATAAATAATGAAAAAAAATTGTGATGGAAAATAAATATGCTAGACCACAAATATTTATTATTTAATATATTTAATTTTTCATATAAGACAATATCTTCATTTTAATTCAACCTGTAAGAAGATGAACGCAAAGCACCAAAAAGTGTGAGGTCATAGGTTTGAACTTTAAGAATTCACACTTGAATCCCTAAGCTCGAACTCATCAACTCACGTTTCTCTGTGTTTACCTTCTCACTAGTCAAGTTAAAATGAAATTCTTTTTGGTATAGAAAGGTATATATCAATCAAAATGTTATTTAAAAAATACACATATATTTTATAGGAAAAAAGGAAGGCAATTATGTGTGCTTTGTGCTGTCCTGGGAAATATTGCTTTGTTTTTTAATTTAAGAAGAAAATATTACTGATAATAATTCATCGTATATATGCTTATGCTATACGTACTTATAACTAGTGTCTTCAACACGTCCAAATTTATAAATGTTTCTAAGCAAATCATGCAAATTAAATCCCATTGATTTTGATATTAGGTCCGATTTTCTTGCTCACGTAACTTTTCAGAAACCCCCTCATGCAGTAATTCACTGACTCTACTCAAGTCCCATCTTTTTGCTTAGGTCATTTTTAATTCCTGTTATATGCTGTGCTAATTTATACTCCTTCCATTCAAAATATAAGATATTTTTAATTGAATCTCACCTCCAATAAAATAGTTATCTACTTTCAAACTAACCATATTTTTTTATATTTATCCCTATTAAGCACCCTATAATAAATATAAAGTCATTATCAATAGATGCACTTTAAAAAAAAAGGCAATGATTACATCTCAAAAGATTAAAAATGTTTTATATTTTTAAATATTTAAATCTTCAAAAAATGTCTTATATTTTTAAACAGATGAAATAATATTTATTATTGGGACACCATTGCTTTTAATTACCTAATTATTTTAATTTTTACTTTTCTATATTGCTATTTTGAAATAAATAATCAAATTTTCATTGAAAAACATATTGTTCCTCAAAGACCATGGTCTCTTACAGTTTTTATATATAAAACTTTGAGACCTATATCTAAATATTTAAGCTTTTTAATCATTAAGGCCAATTTTCCCTTGAAATAAATAAATTTGATAAGTTGGCAGAGAATGCTCGCGCCCAATAGTTGACATGGACTTGTGATCGCGACGTTACTAATTAAAAAGAAAAAGCTTGATTAAAGAGAGACATTATCAATGCCAAGTTTGGATTATATTCAAATGTTCACACCAGATTTTCTCTTTCCAGACTGTCTGTACCGTTCCCCCCTCTTTTTAAGTCAATGCAAAACTAAGGACGCCATTATCTAAATTACGAACTTAAAGAAAAACTTGCGTTAAATCTTAGTTCCTCCAAACATCTTGCTACTTGCTACAGATAAGCGGTATTGTCCCCCCTAATTTTTATTTTTAATTGAGACTGGTTCAATTTTAAAATTAGCTCGTGTAATTGGATCAGTAAATGATAATAATAATTTTAAAATAAACTATGTATTCGAATGCTTTATTGGAAGGCTTGAGAACTGAAGTTAACTGTCAGGAAATGAATCTTTAGATAGTTTTGATTTTTCAAGACTTGAAAACTATGGCCTTCAAACCCTTTAGTTGAATATTAAAGGAAAAAGATGATGGTGTTGAATATTACAATAAAGAAATTACGTATGCTCCTTTGCACATATGAAATCCATCATCATCTGCTACTCATGACTCGCTGCACGAAGAAAAGAAACAGAAATGCGAATACGTAGATCCTTTATTATTTCTGTTGATCGATCATTCCAGAAATCTCTAGATATATTGCGGTGGAGGTGGAGGAGGAGGAAACTGGGCCAGAGGTGGTCGTGGTGGAGGAGATTTGAAAGCTGGAACTCTATGAACAGACCCGTCCGGTGGGGGTGGTTTCCTTGGCAAAGATCCTGCCAGTTTTCTCATTGTCCTACCTGCATATGTTCAAAATTATGAGTTCTTCCACTTGATTATATATTAGTTATTAAGTCTAGTTTTGTTTGATGTGAGATTCATCACATCAACTCAGATCTACTTACATTCAAACATCCTGACAATATATGTTGAATTTGGATATTTATACCATATCATAATTAAGTAAGGTGAGTACGACCAACTTTGCATCTTCCATTTGATGAACTAGGCAATGACTGTATTATGTAAAGTATAAGAGTGTGATAAATACAGACGCATACCTGCATTAGCATCGGGGCACTGCATGAAAAGAGTGAAAACAATAACTAGAAGAGCCATCAGAAAACGGTATATAGAAAACATGCTCATCGATCTCTATTCTTCTTGGTTGTGGATATGCTAATCCTTGCTAGCAACTAGCTTAAGCTATGTGCTTCAGTACGCTCAAATTTATAAAGTTTTCAAAGTAGATACTTGTATCGACTTGGATTTGAATGATCATTTGTGAACCTATGCATATTTTCAAACATGTAACTTCATAGAAAAAGGTCCATTAACATTGATGTTTGACGTAACCTAGATAAAGAATATTATTGGCGGGCATATATAGATAAAGAATATTATTGGTGGGCATGTAACTTCTCATACAATGTGTACTTATTTATTATAAAAATGAAGCCAGGTCAAACGATGTTAGCAGAAAATTAAAATGTTTTTAGGTAGCAGCGTGGTCTACAAAAAAATTCATCAAGTCCCAGAATCATTATAAATTACTAAATATAAAGTAGTTACGTTATTTTCATAATTAATACTAAATAATATGTCTTCTTGCTTAAACTTTGTATCATACACCAAACCCAAATGTTATTGAAAAGTTAAAAAAAGAAAAAACTATGTTTTGTCAAGGTTAGAGCGTGATTAGATCAAACTCTTCCAGATTGAATAACTACAGCAATAGCATAAGGGTCCATCAAGGATTGAAAGTTTTATTCTTCTAATTAATTACAGTTTTGGTTGCAGTTGCGATCGCATTGCGTTGTTGTGATATGCTATCTCGTTCATTTAAATGATTAAGAAAGGTATTACTTTGCAGTGATTAAGAAGAAAAATATTAAATAGGTTGAATTATATCAAAATTTATCAGTACTTTATAAAATATCTTTATGTAGGAAGTTATTAAAAAATTTGGACTAAGTTATTCCTGTAATCAATGAAACAAATTTGTCTAGTAAAAATAAATATTGACTTTAAGAGGAACAATTTTGAGAAAAATGTGATAAATGCTTCTTGAAATTCTTAGTTTTGTTTATAAATAAAAAAGAAGAGACAGATGATAGTTTTTCTTATATTTGAAAATGGAGGGAGTACGTGTAATTTAGTTAAGTTAAATAGCCAAATTCATAACTTACCAGAGAAAGAGAAAGGATCCATATCGATGTTGCGCGGCAGAATCTCCGGTGTGAGTGACATTTCTCTCAGTTAATTTTTTCTTTTTTTTTTTGGGTAACTCCGAACCAATGAGGATAGGGTTTAGTAGAAAGGCTAATTCTTTGCAACATGACAGATTAAGATTTGACTATCTATTGCTCACATCTAATGTTTGATCCTACCTTAAACAAAACTGCTTTCAATAAAAAAAAATACACACACACACACACATATATATATGTGCATTAAATAAATATTTTCTGATAATATTCATGAGATTAGAAAAAAATATAAAGTTATCAACCATTTCTCCTAATTTGCTCATTCACACTAATTTTAAAGAGGATTTGGGGCAATTGATTATTTATGGGAGGCAGTTGCAATTTTAAAGAGGGGCTACTGTAATTTTGAAAAAAAAAATTATGTAAGACTAATTTTTGCTTATTTTATGGGGGCAATTGCCCCTACTTCAACGTGGTCACGTCCGGGCCTCAAATTAGTTTAATTTTCTTAATATAAATCTTTATATTGTGTTTTATTTTTTTTTTTTAACTTTTGGAGTATGTGTTTTTACTGTCTAAATAATTATATTATTTTAGTAATTTACAAAGTTGTCATCAATATTTTATCATTTATGTTAGTAAACTTTAACAAGGTAATTTTTTTTAGTCGATGTAAATTTAAGGGACTCAATTGATAAAAATAAAATTTAAAAGATCAAATTAATAATTAAAATAATTTTGTTGATTAAAAGTTGTGATATAGCATTAAGAATTTTACCCCATTAAATTGAATAAATAATTTAAAGAAATGATGACATTGGGTATAAATAGAAATATTGAAAGTGTAGGAGATGATCCGATTTCATTAACATAATTATCTTAGAAGTCCTTCATGCATATTGTTGTAGGGGACACTATATTAAAGCATTTATATAGAAATCCTATAAGCCCAGAAATATAGCGGAAGACTTAAATTAGAGCATTAATTAAGACTGGTTCAATCTTCAAATTAGCCCTTGTAATTCGAACTCTGAGAAAATATTTTTTTAAAGAAATGTGTGCCCAAAAATTCTTTCCACCCAATCAGTGAGCCTCAAACATGCTTGTGCGTGCTTATGGGTATCCTTATATTAACGTGCGAGAGATAGGCTCGTGCGGCTTTAGTAGGGGTGGAAATATCAAGTTTCTGAGCCTACGGCCTGACTCGATTGCAGCTTAACTTGGCCTGTTTAACTAAATTTTTTTAGTTTCAGTTAAAAAAAAAAACTAAATTTCTTTAGCTTAGCTAGATAAGTTAGCCTATTTAAGCCTTTCTATTTAATTAATTATTTATATATTTTATTTTATTTATATAATGAATATATTTAATTTATATTATTATATTTTAATTTGTATTCTTTTAGTTGAATGATTGATCCTTGTTGATTAATTTAAGTAGATTTAAAATATAGTAAAAGCTCTTCAAAATCTATTTCTCAAACTTTTTTTATTGCCTTTAAAAAGGTTTTAGGATCAGTCAAGTTTATGATAAGCTCAAGCAAAAAAAAAAAAAAGCATGTATATAGATTTAGATTTAAGCTCAGGCTTTTAAGCCTTTGTTACAAGTTTAGACTTATTTAACTAAGGCCCAACCTACTCACATCCTTAGAAGACATAAATTAGCCCTAAAATCTAATTAATTTGGACATATAATAACTAAATTCATATCATCTAAGAACTTTAATTTCAAGGCATGAAACATAAATATTAATACGAAGGGAGGATCGCTCCTAAAGCTCTCAAAATGGAACAAATCACACATAAGAGCCAATATATTTTGAATTGTTTTTGCAGACTCAAAAGTTCCCAATGCAAATATGTTTCTTTTATGAAAAAATGCATTTGTCCTTAATCAAAAATCACACTTTAGTTTTTTTTTTTTCTCTTTTTCAAATTTAGTTATCTGTAAATCACTGATTAAAAATATGTTATATGTTGCATTTAGTTAAATGTTGTCTATATATAATTACTTATGATTGTTTTTTAATTTTATAATCAAGTGTTTTAAGGCAACATCTTAGTGTTTAATAATTAATTGTACTAAATAATTGTAAAAAAATATTTTCAAGAGATGTTTTCATTGAAAATACTAATTAATAGTTAAAAAATATTAGTTAAAATGTGCATGTGGGTGCACAAACACACACATTTTTAGTTGCCCAAGATATTTTCATAGCTAGCAACCATGAGACTAAGTTTTTAAGAAATTTAAGCATCATTTAAGAGGTTGTCCTCTTCTAAAAGATGTTTTTCCACACACACTTTTAAAAATCAAACCTTTAAATAAAATTTAAGGGACCAAAACTATTGCCACCTGAGTCATACCCTCTTGGCACACACACATATTAATTATGAAAAATATCCCAAAAAAATAATAATTTAATCCAAATATAAACCAAACTAATTAGAAGAAATAACTAAATAGATTTCAAGCTTTGGTAAATCGATTAGTTTGGTTTTTTGAAAAACCGAACCTGTGAACATCCTAAATAGGCCTACAATTCCTTAGTCCAAGCTTTAATGTTCTTTCTTCAAAGTCTTTTGGGTGTTGGCCAAAATAAAAAACAAAAAGATCTTTTTGGGCTAAGTCAATACTTCACTTCAGGTCCAATAAACGGCCTTGTTAATATTGTTCTACTAAAAAAAATATTAACTTAGTTAATAAAGATTTAACTTATAATTTACAAGATTATAAGTTTAAATTTTGCCATCAATGTGAGAATTTTATTAGTGAATGATTTTTAAATACTTTTATAAACATCCTTTGAGCCTAGAAGTATGTTGTGGGACTCAACTCACCTAAATTTTTTATTATAAAAAAAAATTTGGCTATAACACTGCAAAATCTCTTCATGGGGAAAAAGGTTAAAACATTGCAAAACCTCCAATCGGAATTGTCTCATGATAATCATAAAATACACGTTGAGATCACTGTGATAATCATAATTGGATAGTCTTAATCGTTTAATTATTTATAATTTGAAAAATGTAAATATATACTTTTTAATTTTTTAATTAAATTACAAAACCGACCTTAAAAATGACGTTTTCTAGCAGATAACGGAATTGCTTGGTCCCTTCAAAAATGGGAGTACACAGTTTGTCCGGACCTTTAATTTAAATAAAAAATAAATGGGCTTTAAATTTCATACATAATCAGTAGAAATGTTTTGTATTAACCTCTAGAATTTTATATCATTTGAACACCCTTAGATTGTAATGTGTTTTAGCTCAATTATATTTTGATTGCCCAAATTAAAATAATATACACATCTTGCTTTGTGTTTGAGTACTTGGTTTTTAATTTGATACTTTTAGGCTCATTTTGTATTATTTTGATTTAAAGTTTGGTTATATGTATTTTTGGACATCCCTTGAGGGTGTTTTTGCATTTTAGATGATAAAATCATGTGCAAAAATGAGCTATTGTGCAAATTGGGAGAACAAGGCAAAACTACCAAAGTCGTGACTTTGTTCGCGACTTTCACCACTCAAAAAAAAAATTGCATTTGGCTTAATTTAAAATGAGTGGGTAGGATACTTATTTGGACGTTGCTTGACCCAAAATGCATTCTTGACACTTGAGACACATTTGAAACCTAATTGTGCTAGGGTTTGGGTATTGAAATAGTTGGGATTAAGAGATTGAAATTTTAAAGATATTTGGAGCTCATTTTCTTTGATTTTTTATTCCCCTTCCCTTTCTTCTCTTGTAATATGAAATGACTATGAATATTTTGTGTATTTATAGCTTCTTAATGTTTATCAGTAGCTAAACTCTTTGCCCTATCATTATTTGAAACTCTTGTATGGAGTAACACTAAGTTCCCCCTCTCTTTTTGTGATTAATGTGGGGAGTGTTTATTTTACTTTTCTCTTAAAACTTCTAAGTGATTGGCCACTATTTAGTTAATTTGTTCACTTAGGCAA